TGTTATTGAGGTGATTTTTGTGATGATTGGTTGGTGGTGGATTTCGAATGTTGGTGATGGTGATAAGTGCTAACGGTGATGATGACTGAGATTGGTGGTGGTGGTGCGATGGTAGTGGTGGTGCCGCAGTGGTGTTGTTGGTATTGTGGTGGTACCGACAGTTGGGTGAGGATTGCTGTATTAGCAGTGGCGGTAGTGTTGATGGCATCAATTTTTGAATTTGCAACAGGATGATTCAAAACTAGGGGCAGAAGATGAGGACACGGGGGCACAGGTGGCTCCTATTGTCAAACTGCAGGAAGTGGCTGTTACCACTGGCGAAGAAAATGAAGATATCCTTCTTGATCTGAAGGCAAAGTTGTATAGATTTGATAAGGAAGGGAGCCAATGGAAAGAGAGGGGCGTTGGGACACTGAAGCTACTCAAGCACAAGGAGAGTGGCAAAATTAGGCTTGTCACGAGGCAGAACAAGACCCTTAAGATTTGTGCTAACCATCTGGTGCTACCCACAATGACTGTGCAAGAGCATCAAGGGAATGACAAATCATATATGTGGCATGCTGTGGATTTTGCAGATGGAGAGTTGAAGGAGGAGACTTTTGCTATTTGGTTTGCCTCTGTGGAAAATTGCAAATCTTTCAAAGATAAGATTGAAGAAATTACTGAATCTCTGGCAAAAACTACTGAGGATAGTGAAGAAGGCACTACTGTTGCCAACCTTATTGAAAAGTTAACTGTTGAAAGTAAGGATACATAAGAGAAGCAAGAGACTAAAGAGGCATCTAAGAACTGCAAACCTTGTTTTTAAGGGTGCATTACCCTAGGCTTAAGAAAAAAAAATGAAACTCTTTCATTTTCTAAATACATGCAGTGAAGTTGACAATATGATTTCATCAAATGCTAGGCCTTTTTGGTTTGACTTCTAAATACATAATTACTTGATACAATGTAGGTGCCAATATGATTTCAGATGCTAAGCCTTTTTGGTTTGACTTCCAAAACCCCATTTCATCAACCCCAATGCACATTTAAGTAACCTAGTTAAGCATATAAAAAAAAAGTAGCCTAGTTAAGAAAAAAAAGGATTTCAGAATTCCGGCATTTCTTTCCATCTAAATTCATCAGGTTAATACCAAAAGCTCAAATTCCACAAAAATTTCATATTCAAACTAAATTATGAATCAATTGATTTTTAGGGAAAATGATGAAGATTGANTGAAGATTGATTTTAGTGGCCTTGCGGCCTCAGCCCCGCTTTGTGCAATGAGATTTAAATCAAATATGTGTCTATTGTGACCGTTTGTGACTGTTTGTGATCAATTGTGACTGGTTAATTGTGACTCGTTGTGACCAATTGTGACAGATTGTGGCTTGAAATTTTGAAAATTTTTTGGAAGTTGGGATGACTGGTTTGACTGTTTGTGACCAATTGTGACTTGAAATTCTGGAAATCTTTCGGAAGTCGGGTGTGGGTGGGTGGAGTGTGATTTCCAATTTTTAAATTTCTGAAAATTTTTAAGTCGTCGAAGAGACTGCTGGAACAGTCGCCGGAGTGATCACCGGAGCCGATGGCTGTCTCCAGTGGAGAGGTGGAGGAAAGATGGTGTAGTTGAATTATAGGATGTGGTAGGTGATGTGGCA